TCGTCTATATCCTGCTCTCCCTCTAACCTGTTTGCAAAACACCTACTTCTTTGGCACCTTGCCTATGATAACCGATAGGGGTGATTCGTACCTAGGAGGGCCTAGTTTCATCTCATGGATACACTGTAGCTAATGCTGCGTCATCCGGTCCCACGGATGTTGTATTAGGTACCAGAGCGAGAAGAAGTGGTTCTGTCCCAACTGTAGACCGAGCCAAGTACCCACGAAGAAACGATACTTAGAAGCTAGGATGGTGGACGAATTTTCGCCAAGCGTCTACAGAGCAGAAGTCTGGACGGACCTCTTGCTGCTACGAAGATTAATAGGGGATCCAGTGTCGGAGCTCACCAAGGCGGAACGTTGGCGAGTAATGGAGCGGGCTCATGATTATCATTGGCAAGAATCCGCCCTACAAAAAAGAAAAGATAATGACAATAGCGGGTCTAGCTGGCTAGCGGTTCCACACCCTCTTGCTAGGTTCGATGGGACACGAGCAACGCACGAAGAGGATGTCGTCCACTTCGTGGTCAGGTACACACAAAAGGCCATCGAGAAAAATGAATGGTACTGGTCAGGAATTCAGGAAGGTGTCAGATACATCGTCCTGAATTATCCGGCATGCGCGGTAGATAAGGTGTCGGTTCAGATGCCCCGGATAATGGTGCCAACTAGGGCAAAACACCCCTTTTAGCGAGTTAGCATCGACACAACGTATATCAACGTATCGAGGGGCCTTGTTGATCAAGGCAATCTGAATGTCCTGTTAGTTGTCGTCGATCATTTCTCCAAGTGGATCGAGGCCTGTCCGATGACTAATCGGAACTTGCTAGAGGTAGCCTGGTATACTAACCGCATCTTATTTATGCACCTGGACGTAGAGAAAGTACACATGGATAATGGGTATGAATTCCAAGGGGAACTAGAGAGGCATCTCATAAAGGTCGGCGTTAGGATTTCGTACTCACCGGGGAACTAGAGAGGCACCAACCGAATGATTAAGACTGCCCTTAGAAGAAATATTACCGCGGGAGATATCGGGCCCTTGCCCGTCATAGTCGACCACATCTTGGTCATCTATCAGGCTACCCCCCACGGTAGGATCAGGGTGTCCCCATTCCAGCTGAGGACCAACTGTGTCCCTTGGGTCCATTTCTGTGCAACCGCTTGAACGCGCCGAACGCGCGTTCGCGTTCGAACGCGCGCATTCACACGGCCCGGGGCCGCGTTCATTGGCATTCAAACGCGCAGCGCGCGGTGTGGCGCGTTTTTTTTTAACGCGACCCCGATTCATTCACGCGCGCGCCGGGGGCCAGGGGCTGGTGGGGTGCGTTCTCACATACAAGAAAAAAAAAAACAGGCCGCCACCAGCCACACCACAGCGCCCCAACGCCCCGATGCCCCAGCGCCCCGGCGCCCTAGCGACCCACGCCCCACGCCCCAGCACCCACAAACCGGCGCCCAGGCGGCCCTGTGCCCACACCACGGCGCCCCAGTGCCCCACCGCCCCGGAGCCCCAGCCCCCGCAGCCCGGTTCGTTCGCGTGCGAGCCAGGGGCCACGGGGTGGTGGTGTGCGGCCTCGAAGATGACAAATAAAAAAAAAAAAGCCCCCACCGGCCCCAGCGCCCCAACGCCCCAGCACCTCAGCTCCCCCGGCACCCCAGCGCCCCACACCCAGACGCCCCGGCGCCCCAGCGCCCAACACCCCAGCGCCCCAACACCCCAGCGCCCCAGCGCCCCAGCGACACCACTGCCTCACACCCCAGCGCCCCAGCGCCCCAGCGCCCCAGCCTAGCGCCCCGCAACCCGGCTCACCAGCGCCCCGTTGCCCCACCACTCCACACCCTGGCGCACCACCGCCCCACTGCCCAACCACCCCACCGCCCCACACCCCGGCGCCCCAGCGCCGCAGCGCCCGCACCCCATCGGCCCGCCCACAACACGACCGCACCACCTTATAACACACCCTCCATTGAACACCCCTCCACCCACCCACACCCCGGCGCCTCCACGCCCCATTGGCTGAACACCCTCACTAACAAAAAAAAAAAAAAAAAAAAAAAAAAAAAAAAAAAAAAAAAAAAAAAAACTGATCCAGAATCCAGATTTTGGGGGAGGGCGCGACGGGAGGGTTTGGGTTTTGTTAGGTGTTGACTCAATTGGGGGATTTGGGTTTGGTGCGTGTTGAAATGAAACCAAGCCCAAACCACCAAAGGTCGCCTGCGTCCCACAAGCCAAGTTTTAGTGGTGCTCATACAATGCGAAATGGGATTTGTGAGAGAATAGGAAATCGTCGATGCACACATATATGTACTTGTCATTCCATTCATGTGGACAGATGCACGTTCAAACACTATTCTTATGCATGCACATGCAACACCCATCGTTTGGAAACACAAACATTGCAAACGACAAGATATAATTGAAGCAAGACGCAAACCAACGTACTGTGGATAATAGCAAAATACATCTGACATGTGCGGTCGACGACCCGCCACAACATCCAAAAAACCCCCAACTACAATGAAGTCTAAGAAGTACCCGCTGAAAAGTAAACAAAAAAATAGACTAAAAGGAAATAATCTCCGAAGTGCCGAACGAAACCATGTCTAAACTGCGCAAAAAGTACCGAACAAAAAGTAGAGTATAACACAACATCACGAAACAATACGTCTGTCATGGACGACAAAAAATGTGAACTACACTGAGACCAGGCCGCGAAAACGCAAGCCCGTAGACCATCAACGATCGTCGTCTGCATGCGAATCCCGCCTAGACGGATGAGAACCCTGTCCGTGTGAGCGGCCAGTGCCACGTGCTCGACCTCTCTGCCGCTGCCCGCCGCGTCCGGCAGTGGAAGGCTCGGGAGCCTCGTCGGGGTCGTTGTCCATAATGACTCTGTGGCTGCCAAATCAACATGTCGGCGGGAATCGCGACGCATAGGAAGACCGTCTGCCCCTGAAGTCTCCCCCTGAAGACGTTGTCCATAATGACTCCCCCTGAAGTCGTTGTTCATAGGAAGATCGTCGGCCCCTGAAGTCTCCCCCTGAAGTCGTTGTCCATAATGACTCTGCGGCTGCCAAATCAACATGTCGGCGGGAATCGCGGCGCATAGGAAGACCGTCTGCCCCTGAAGTCTCCCCCTCCTGGCGTCGATCTAAGGGCACCTGTCGGGCCTGCCTGGCTCGTGTAACAACCTCTGGCTCCTGTAAATTAAGAGATGCCTCTCCCAAACCATACGTCAACGGCGGATCTGCTCCGCCCGCCACGGCCCCGCCTGCGCCCTCACGTTTGCCAGGCATGCCACCACTATCCCCGCCTCTACCGCCGAACCTCGACGCCACAACATCACGACGACTCCCGGTCGTGAAAACCTCTCTCAAACCTGGTTGCCGAGCGGCACTCGCAGTCGTGACCCGTCTCGTCTCACTCCATGGTCGATCAGTGTGACCGAACAACATGCTGTCCTTTGACACCCGCGCACGGTCGGTAGTGCCTCTCTGTCTATGGGCAGCCGACCTCGGGTTGAGAGTGCCGCTCTCATCCCCAACTACGATCGCTGGTGAGGATGGCCATGCCGCGCCATGAGACGGCGCCACGACAGAACCTCCTGAAGGTAAGCTAGGGCTAGCTGGCCCCCAAGACAAGTCCTGCACGTGAGGCAGACGCCCCGCCCGCAGAGGCCTCTTGAAGCACCGCCTGTCGATCTTGGTCAAATCCATCCCGTCGTGCGCCTCCAACTCCTCAGCAGTTATACATCCAAATGGGAGGCTGCCGCGAGGCGTGGCCACATACCTAATCTGCGGCCTCTCCCGTGACGGCACAAAAGTAGCGACCGGAGGTGCGCACATGCCCCTGCCTACTCGTCGCTCTGCGATCGGGCCACCGCCATGTGCACGACGCCCAAGATCCACCAGGAACGGTGCCTAATGTGGCACCACCGGCCCCACAGCTGTGCGAACCACCAAAGTCTGCGGCGTCTCCTGTTTGTCTCCATCATGCCCGTCTCTCACGTCCTCTCGAGGTACAACCTCGCTATCGACCTGTGCACCATCTCGCCCCGCCCCCATAACATCAACGTCCCCCGCGACGTCCTCCTCCAACCCGGTAGTCGGTGCTATCGGATCAGCCTGAACTGGCGCCTCCGCCCCCATA